ACCTCCCGCCACCTTAAATCTAACAGCTTTGGGCAATTCAGAGCCTCAGGGTGAGCCCCGGCTTCTGTGGGGCCCCTTTGATAATAAGCCTCCCTAGTGTTTGCTCAGGACCCCAGGACACCCTCCCGACCTGAGCTTACTGGCCCCAAAGAGACAGGTCTCAAAGGCTGAGGTGCTGGCACTCTGCTTTTAGCCCCGATCTAACTTCCTTGGAAGTGGTGTAGGCTTGGGAAGGCAGCCAGTCCGCTTCCTTGGAATTGCTTTCTGGGGAGGTCGAGTTCCCTAGAGTCCTCTCTGGCTCAGCTGCATTAAGCTGGTCACTTTTGGGAGCTGTTGTGCTAGACCCAAGCCCTCCAGGGTCCCTGGACTTCCTTGCACCCTGCAGGACGCAGCTTCGGATAAGCCTCTGAGTGTGGGGCCTGGGAACTTCTCCTGGCCAGGAAACCAGTGGTCTGGCCTGTCAGAGGTCACAGAAGGGAAGGAAGCCAGAGCCCTCCCTGACCTGCTGGCCTGCTGAGGTGCTGAGTCATGCTGACAGCACCATGGCTGTCCCCAGCCCTTTTCCAGCTCCCTTTGCTTTAGCCCTACAACAAGGAGGCCTGGAGGCCCCAACTGCTCAGGTGCAGCCAGCTCTTAGGCCCCAGCTCCAGAGCTGTATCCTTCTGCAGCAGCAGGGCAGTGCATCCCCTCTGAGCCCACATCCAGGCACCAGCCTCGCTCTCTGGGCAGAAGAAAGGGGAGTCTCCAAGTCCTGCAGCTTCTCCTCCTGCATGCATTTCTAGACAGCAAGGAGTGGACAGTCTGGGCTGAGTAGTCACATCTGTTTGAATCTCTGTTCAGCTACTCCCCCCACTACACATGACCTTCAGACAAGTCCCTTGACCTTTCAACTTGTTTCCTTTTCTGTGTGTTTTAGGAATAAAATTCCACTAACCTCCCTCAGAGGGTCACTCAGCACAGGGCCCAGCACCCTGCCATAGCGCCTAGGAGCCCCTCAATGCCACGTGCCAGCCCATGAATGGGGTTCTTGTTTCTATACCTGTGGCTGCTGCCCCTCAGCCATCCCTTCACATCTGGGGGGATGGTAAGGTGGGGGTGGGTTGTCAGTTCCTGAACTGGTCTCCCTGACTCTAGCCTCAACTCCCAGGGTTTACTTTTCCCTGGGGCCAGTGTTCTTTTTGCCATGTCATACCACCTTTGAAACAATCACAGTTGCCTGTGTTGAGGGCAGGAGAAGGCCCAGGCCCAGCCTCAGCCCCAGCTCCAGTCTTAGGCAAGGACCAATGTCGGTCCACTAGGGAGAACTCATCCTGTGAGGCCACGAGCCCAGTTCTCGAGTCCTCTCATTAGTTAATGCTCATTCCTCACCTGAGGCCTCTTCCCCTAGAGTGCTGCCTGGCACTCGTCACAGCTGCCCCACCCCAGCT